GCGTGCATATGCGCATATGCACACGGCCGTCAACGTGTTAGAGACACTGTCCCGGCAAGATGTCGCTCTGCGGTTTTTCACCTCTGAATGAGCCAAGATTTAGGAAATCTAAGAACCAAGGAATCACAGGATCAGAGAAATCCAGGGATCACTGGAATATGGCCGCTCCCCAATTCGGCACCGTGTGTTTGATGGTGCCGTACGCATGTGCACCAACAACGTTCTTTCCGCAAACATTTTGATGTGGTTTGTAAATTTTCCATAGCTTTAATTATCAAAACGACATTTCTTTAGCTTTTATAATTGGAAAGGGTAACATACAAGTATAGCTCTAAATGCTTTTTTGAAATATGTCTCGCCTATCCTTTGTGCTGTTCCATCTTTTCGTTTCGTCAACCTTTATCTTCTTACGCTTCTTATTCTTTACTGAAAGCATGAGTTTCGCAAATCTTGCTGGCGCAGCATTTGAATGACCTGTTTGAGATATGTATACAAATTACGGAGCTGAAGACATCGAAGACGAAGTGGATCCGATGGAGGAACTGCTGGCGCAGCACAGAAAGGAGAAGAAAGCTCTCAAAGGTCTGCCACTTGCTTACTTACACGTTATCTTATCTGGCTGTATTTCAGAAAAGGCGCTTTCAATGAAAAAGATTGCAAAATCCGGAAACAAACAAAAACAAAAAGAAACAAATGCTGAAATTGAACGATTAGAAAGCGAAATGGCTGCACGACACGAAAGAGAAATCAGCAATTTGAAGGTTAGGCAGTGCACCAGTGTTCTGTTAAATATACCATCTTCATTTGGTAAACTAATTTTTGTTTCTTCATTTATGTTATGTCATCAAATCGCAGCTCTTGCAAGTAAGTACTCTAAAATCTTGAAAGCAAGCCTTCCAAAAGGTGGTGTTTCAACTTTAACATTATATCGTTTTCACAGAATTATAAGAAAACCGGGCATATCAGCGGAAGCTCTTCTATTTTGTCTAAAACTGCAGAAACTGCAAACTTTGAAGTTCAACATTCTAACTTTTCGAAAACACTTATAAGGTTAACACATTCACGACAATACGTACCACCGGTGGTCGT